TTTTTTCTTATAAAAAGGCGTAAAATCGCATTGCAGATCTTATATATAACGATGTTACACATAAAATTAAGGGACATTTCCTCTGATCGTTATAGTAAATTAAAGTAAATTAATCAGCTAATATCTGACATGTCCCTTATTGGCAAATAAATTATGGTAAGCTACCAGCTACCGGATAATTATCCTCATGTGCCTTTTCCTCTCACATAAGGGTAACCTCCTTGTTACAGTTATGCTCTTTAAATAGTTCTCTGTATGATCAAAAAGAGTTTTGATCAACCATAAGCATTGCTTGCCTGCCTGCCTGCCTGCCTGCCTACCTACCTGCCACATGTAAAAGTATTTGACTTTACGTGTGTTTACTTTGGCCGATATCTCTTATACAAAAGAAATTTTTTTTACCTTCTAATATTTCAATATTTAAGAATAGAAAAAGTGTGAAAAAAATAAACCAGAAAAATAAAATATAGATGATCCAGAATTCATAACAACAAATATGTTGTTTGAAACCGTAAAGCATATTACTATATCTATCTTTACAGATTAAAATGTTTTTATATTTACGTGTAGACATTTTATCTTTTCGTAACGAATAACTCTAAGTTTTGAATCCAATTTTAGAGATTATTAGTGAGATTATTAGTGTTGATAATAAACTATATATATTTAGTACAATTCGTTCAATTGATTAAATTAATCACATTTTCTGAGGATTACGTAGATGATTTTTGTGGCGGTTACGCTAGGAGGTACGTTAAGAGGTGTGCTAGGAGGTACATTCCTTTCTTGTAAACAACACATCTATTAACTCATCTATTACCAAATGCTGAAATAACAAATATGATTTAATTAATTAACAATACATAATGACAATGATAATACGCAATAACTATAATTTTAATTCATTATTAAATAAAGTTAAATAACGTAATACGTGATTTACTATAATAATTTTATTTTTTTCACATTGTATTTTTCGCCATTACTGTAATTACCGTTTACCGGTCATATATCATACAATTAATTAATATTATTAAGATACATCATACACTTAACATTATTATTAAGTGAAATCAAATACGTAATGACCTATTCCCTTTGCATCAATGTTAATGATAATTTGTGTAAATTCTTTAAAAACCTAAAAAAAGGTATGATCACCCCACATAAATACAATGTGTGATTGTTGTTTTTCTTTTTTTGTTACATCATTGGATAACATCATTGGATAAAAATCATTGGATAAATTGAATAATTTCTTCGCCTCATGAAAAAAACTAAATCAGGAAAAAAAAATTTTTTTTATCTTAACTAATGATGGATCGATGACGTCTTTGATCACTCGCCCGATTTTTTATTATTGAAAAAATACGTGTATAATATATAATATATCAATCAACGAACACAATTACGTAATGAATTTTGTTTGGTATAAACGGGAAACTCACCTTTTTTTTTCTCACACATTTCTAATATTTCTAATTAATTTTTTACCTTTTGATAAAAATTAAAAGTACGATATGGAACCTATAAATTCGTCAAAAAAAAATCTAATTGATTTATCTCCATCATCCGAGAAGCCATCCGAGAAGCTATCCGAAAAGCTATCCGAAAAGTCATTTGAAATGTCATTCAATATCAATAAGCCATCCGAAAAGTCGTCCGAAAGGTCATCAGAGAAACCATCAAGACCAGTGGCAACGCGTATTAATACGGGAGATCGTAGTATACCTAAAATTATTGAACCAACTGATGATAATCATGTTAATTTTGAAATAATTGAACAAAAGCAAACTAATCAAGATAACACTAATCAAGATAAAACTAATCAAGATAATAATAATCAAGATAATAATAATCAAGATAGAAGCATAAATATGCTTGCTTCACAAGTTGAAGAATTTTTTGCTACATCACCAACAGATTCAATTGGTATTCTAGTACGCGACATAAAATCAGATGAAGCTGATGGAGTTTTGGTAGCACTTGTTGATCGAGAAGCAGAAATGAAAGATTTATTTGAGAAAAA